AACGGCTGTATGGGGGTGTAGCCGCTCTTGCCAATACCAGGCACTGCGTTCATGCGTTGACCCCTCATGCCGGGGCTTCGTTGCCTCATGCTCTGACCCCGCATATTGGGGTTTGCCTTTCATGCGTCGACACACCATGCTGGGGCCTTGGTCCCTCACGCGTCGACCCTTTCTGCCGGGGCCTTGGCTGGCCCCTCATGAACTGACCCCAACATGCCGGGGCGGTACCCCTTCATGCGTCGGGGCTTCGGCCCCTCATACCCTGACCCCGCATGCTGGGGCCTTGGCTGGCCCCTCATGCGTTCACCTCCTCATGCTGGGGCATTGGCCCTTCATGCGTTGACCCCGCATGCTCGGGGCTTCGGCCCCTCGTGCCCTGAACCCCTCATGCTGGGGCCTTGGCTGGCCCCTCATGCGCTGACCCCTTCATGCTGGGGCATTGGCCCTCCATGCGCTGACCCCTCATGCCAGGGCTGCGGCACCTCATGCCCTGACCCCTCATGCTGGGGCCTTGTCATGCGTTGACCTCCTCATGCTGGGGCACATGCCCTTCATGCGTTGACCCCTCGTGCTCGTGGCTTCGGCCCCTCATGCCCTGAACCCCTCATGCTGGCGCATTGGCTGACCCCTCATGCGTTGACCGCCTCATGCTGGGGCATCGGCCTTTCATGCGTTGATCCTTCATGCCGGGGCTTCGGCCCCTTCTGCCCTGACCCCTCACGCTGGGGCCTTACCCGGCCCCTCATGCGTTGATCCCCGCATGCTGGGGCATTCGCTCTTCATGCGTTGACCCAGTCATGCCGGGGCTTCGACCCCTCGCGCGCTGACCCACTCATGCTGGCGCATTGGCTGGCCCCTCATGCGTTGACCCCCTCATGCTGGGGCATTGGTCCTTCATGCTTTGACCCAGTCATGCCGGGGCTTCGACCCCTCACGCCCTGACCCATGGGGCCTTGGCTGGCCCCTCATGCGTTGACCCCCTCATGCAGGGGCATTGGCCCTGCATGCGTTGACCCCTCCTGCCGGGGCTTCGGCCTCTGATGCCCTGACCCTCATGCTAGGGCCTTGGCTGGCCCCTCATGCGTTGACCCCCTCATACAGGGGCCTTGGCCCTTCATGTGTTGACCCCTCATCTTCAAGCTCCAAATGCTAATCCTAACAAGGCAGCCCTCCCCGTGTGCTACCCCTAACCCCTAACCCGGGTAGTCAGTTTTTTTCTCCGCACGCGCTACCCTCACCTTGGCATGCGTCGGCATGCATTGGCATGCATTGGCAAGCATTGGCATGCGTTGGCATGTAATGGCATGCATTGCCATGCAGTGGCATGCGATGGCATGCGTTGGCATGCATTGGCATGCATTGGCATGCACTGGCATGCGTTGGCATGCAGTGGCATGCGTTGACATGCGCTGGCATGCATTGACAGGCGCTGGCACAAATTGGCATGTGGCATGTATTTGCATGCGTTAACATACATTGGCATGCGCTGGCATGCGTTAACGTGCATTGACATGCATTGACATGTTTTGGCATGTAGTGGCATGTGTTGTCATGCGTTGGCATGCATTGGCATGCACTGGCGTGCGTTGGCATGCGTTCGCGTGCTATGGCACGCGTTGGCATTCCATGCGTTGGCATGCATTGGCATGCATTGGCATGCACTGGCGTGCGTTGGCATGCATTGCCATGCATTGGCATGCGGTGGCATGCGTTGGCATGCATTGGCATGCATTGGCATGCATTGGCATGCGTTGGCATGCGTTGGCATGCATTGACATGCGTTGGCATGCGTTGGCATGCACAGGCATGCACAGGCATGCGCTGACATGCATTGGCATGCATTGGCATGCATTGGCATGCATTGGCATGCATTGGCATTCATTGGCATGCATTGGCATGCGTTGGCATGCGTTGGCATGCGTTGGAATTCGTTGGCATGCATTTGCAGCCCTCCCCGCGTGCTACACCTAAACCCGGGCAGCCAATTCATTCTTGTGGGGCTACTAGCCAGGGCGAGCCCTCGCCTGCAACCCCTACAAACAGGCTCCGAGTTGGGGTGCAACCCACGCAGAACTGGCAATTCGGTCAGTGATCCTCCTTCAGCCTCATCCCTCCTCCTCCTGCGCATGTTTCTCCACCCCTTCTCCTTATAGAGAACTACTCCCTGTCGCACACCGAAGCCGGCTGAAAAGGCGGGTCGGTTGTTCCGCTTGAGACTTCCTCATAGCTCCTTATCCTGGAGCTTTGAATTTGAAAGATTTCACGTGTAGAAAGCGGTCCGCTGTCAAAATATGGCTCTCGCATGAGCGCCGCACATATTCGTGGACAAATTGCAGGAGCTTCACGAATGGAGGGCGGTTCATTTTCAACATGTTGCTCTCGCCTCAGGGCCGCGCACCTTCGTCTGAAAAGTTTTTAACATTTGAAATATTATCATGGCTCACGTCCCAGACGTTGTGTTTTGGCACGATGTCGGAAAGTCATGGCGCAGCAATCACGTTGATTCGCGGTGCTGAAGTCCCATGAGTGGTGTCCTGGCACGATTCAGGATAGTCAAGACGCAAATGAAGAGACGATTCGCGGGTTTGATGTCCCAAAGATGGCGTTCTGGCGCAATTGCGGATGTTCAAACGGCTGTCTTCCAACGGGGCACTGATGAGTCTTGGGTTTACACTGGTCCTGTTCCTCCCCCTCCTCCCCCTCCTCCCTCTTCCGTCTCCTCCGTCCTCCTGCACTTCCTCCCTCCTCCCTCCTCCTGTTCCTGCGAGCCCTGCTGCGAGCGCATACACGGGATACCGCCTAGGTAATCCACACCGCGAGGGCATTGAACTTCTGCGTGATCTCGGCCTCTTCTCCGGGGCAAACCATGCACTCTGAGTCGTCTTTTGACAGCCGGGGTGTCTGGAGACCGTCGAGGCTCGCGTCGAGGAAAGGCCATCCGTCTCGATGTTGTCGCGATGGGGGTGACTAGGGAAGAGGCCCCCGACGTGGCGGGGCCGAGTGGACCGACTGCCGCGAGGCAGACGGCATCTTGGACTGAGCCGTCAAGCCAGGGCCGTGACGGCGGAGCATTGGATGTGGCAGCTCATTGCGAGCTCACCGCTGCCACTCTGATCTGTGCGTCCAGGCTCCAAGCGCGCCCTAGACGATATGTTTGCCAGCTGGGGTTCCGAACCGGCCACAAGCGGGCTAGAATCTTCAATGAGGTTCAAAATAATTGTATATATGTGTAATATATTTAGTATTATGTGCAGCCCCCCCAGCACCAACAGTTACCAAGATTCACTTACGACGGTGGTGCTGTTCCTTTCCTCCTCCTCCTCGTCCTTGTCTTTTCTCTCTTTCTCTCCCTCTCTCTGTTAGATATGGCTTTGTCTCTTTCTCTCCCTGTCTCTGCGTCTCTCTCTCACTCTCTCTCTCTCTCTCTATCCGTATCTCTCTCTCTCTCGTTCTCGTTCTCTCTCTCTCTCTCTCTATCGCTCTCTCTCTCTCTCTCTCTCGCACTGCCCTCGGCGCGGCCGCGGACGAGTCGAGGCTCGGCCGCAGGCGCGCAGCGTTCCGCCCACACGATGCCTGTGAAAACACAGGTTTGCCATTTCAGGCTGCGGAAACCGTGTGCTTTCATTTTGATGTTTGGGATTTCTGGGATGAGGAGGGAGGAACACATGTGTTGTCATTTGGATGCTTCGGATTTGGGGGATTTCCCTCCCTCCAAAGAAAATGGAACCAAAGAAAATTAACCAATGAACCCGATCCCCAGAATCCCAATAATTCAAACTATCCAAATTAGAAAACATGGCCTCATTACCTCTCATGCCAGATATCCCAAACGTCCATGTGAAACACAATATTTGCGATGGTAGGTGTGCGGAAAACCTGTGTTGTCATTTGGATGATTGGAATGTCTGGGGTGAGTAATTGGACTTGTTTGATTGTTGGGATTGTCCTCCCTCCAACGCAAATCAAACATGAGCTTGGATCCCCAGAACCCCAAAAATCAAACATATCAAAATGACAGCACATGGCTTCCTCACTTCTCATCCCAGAAATGCCGAACATCCAAATGAAAACACAAGGTTCACGAACCCCTGACATCGCACACCGTTTGATTTCACAGGGATGTTCCGGCTTTCTACGATTAAAATTGAGGAAGTAATCTTCATGTGGATGTTGGGGATTTGTGAGATTCTGGGGACCCGAGCTCCTGGGAGGGCTCCTGGGTTTGATTTTCGCTGGAGGGAGTGAAACCCCAAAAACCCGTATTCAAAAAATCCGAATGGAAACACAAGGCATGCGCGCCCTTGACATGGCAAAACTTGTATTTTCAGCGGGGGGGGTGTTGAGTGTCTGAGAGAGAGAGAGGGAAGGAGAGCGAAAGAGAGAGAGAGCGAGAGAGACAGATAGAGAGAGCGAGAGAGAGAGAGGCAGATTCCAGATCCAGCTGATGACAATTAGCTTCGTATTGGAATACAACTGAAAACTACTTGGGGTGGAACGGATCTCAGATTCAGCGGATTACAACTTGGTCTCTATTGGAACCTAATAGAATTGAGCTTGAAATTGAGCAGATCCCAGGTCCCAGATCCAGTTGATTCATACTGGATTCCTATCGGGATCTACCTGGGACCTAATTGGAATTCAGTAGTTCCCAGGCCCAGCAATTTCTAGCTGCATTCCTATCAGAATCTACTTGAAATAAAACGGATCCCAGATCCAGCTGATTCCTAGTTGAATTGAATTTGAATGTCAATGGAGTTTGGCACATCCCAGGTCCAGCTGCTTCCTATTGTAATTCAATTCGGATCGAATTGGAAAAGAGAAGATCACAGATCCAGCTGATTCCAAATAGATGTCTGTTGGAATCGAATTGGACCCTTATTGGAATGGAGAAGATCCCAGAGCCATCATATTTCAATCCGACTCCTTCTGGAACCGAAGTAGAGGGAGAGGAGGGAGGAACAGGCCCCGCGACAGCTGCAAATGCGTCCACATGCCAGCTCCTTCAGCGATCTGCCGACCACCTGCAGCCGGACGTCGTAGCTGTTCTGGCTCCGCGCCCTGGCGACCACGCTCCCCTCCTGGGGCTGCTGGGGTAGGGCATCGTCGTCCTCGTTATCCTGCTCCCGCCTTCTGCTCCTCCTTCGCCTCCTCTCCCCTTCTTCTCCAGCCTCCTCCAACCATCCTGCTCGTTCTTTCGCCTTTCCCATCTCAACCTCTTCCTCCTGTTCCACCATCATCTTGCCCCATCTCTTCCCTCACCCCTTCATCCCATCCATCACTGTCACTCTCTCCCTCTCTCTCTGCACACCCCACCCTACATCCCCTCCGCCCCAATTGCTACCATTGCACGAGCATCGTCGTCGCCGTCATCACCACCACAACCACCACCAGCAACAACAACATCATTATCGTAGTCATCGGCATCGTCACCATCATCATCATCAGCATCAGTATCCTCGTCAGCATCGTTATCACTATCATCATCAGCATCATCATCAACATCATCATCCTCATCCTCATCCTCATCCTCATCCTCATCCTCATCATCATCATCATCATCATCATTAGCAACATCATCATCATCGACAGCATCAGTATCATCATCACCACCACCACCATCATCATCAGCGTCAACATGGGCATCTTCGTCAACGCCAACACCACAATCACTACGCAGACACCATTCTCACCCGTACCATCATCACAATGATTAGCATCACCATCCTATCAGCACCCAGCCATGTGGTTATCTAGCCATTTAAATTGGGGGCGGGGGCTGGGAGGGAGGAGGCAGGGACAGAATGCCTGCATCAGAACAGATCGTGGACATCGGGCACGGCAAGGGGCTGGGGAAAATAAAGCGAGGCAGCGCTAGCCCAGCCTGGACCCCGCCCCCAAACAACTCCCTTACTTCGTTGCACTCGATCCGCATCACTCCCTCCACGACCTCACACTCCTCCTCCCGTCCACTGTGTGGGTCCACCTGTTTCCTACTCCATTCAGCCCTCTTCGACTCTTAATCATCCTCTTCCTCCGCATACTACTCCACCGTCCCTCCATCCATCCTCCATCTCGTGCGCCTCGCCTTCGTCAAACAAACCCTTATCCACCTCCTCCCTCCATTCCTGTGCCTCCCACTCCCTCGTCCTCTCTCCGTCCTTTCCCCTCATACGTATTAGATTCCTTCCTCGTCCTGCTCCTCCTTCACCAGACTCCTCCTCTCAATTTTATGTTCCTGCTGCTCTTCCGAAACAATTCCCTCCTCATGGTTATTCTCGTTGATCCCTCTTCTTCGCAATCAACGCGGGCCGGGCGTGTTGCCCGAGCCTTCACCAAAGAGCATGGCCCTGGCGTGCATGGCGACATCGACTTCAGGGATGAAAGACGCCTAGCTTTCAAACTATGCTTCTCACCTTGGCGCCGCGAGCAGTGGTCCACGGCGCGTAGATGAAGGGCGGGTGACTTCAAACTGTTGTCCTCGCCTCAGCGCTGCGCACAATATCGAAAGACAAAGCTTCCCACAAATACACGTAGCGAGGTCTAACAGCCACACGAGGACGGGTCGTTGTAAACATGTCGCCCTCGCTGCAAAGTGCAACACCTGTGCAGCGTACTCTGACTGATGTCGTATCGTGTTCATCATGGGATTATATCATGTCCTCGTAGATTGTATGACCAGGTGCGAACAACTTGCGCAACATTTGCACTGAGCAAGAGAGCTCCAAGGCCATCAATGGAGAGAATCCTTGAAACGTTTGGCCATACATCATCGCATGTCTTTTTGCTCGACAAGTTGAGGGCAATACCATTTCAAAACGGGGCTCCCGCTCGAAGAGCGGGCCCATTGTGCATCATCTTTCAAGGGCGTGTCTCCAGTTGTGGGACGCAATGCCTTCAGGGCAGGGACTTCTGACGGAAGGGGGGACAGGAGGCTGTGTTGCAACATCGCCCATGTCCTTGGCTTGAACTGGTCCTACTCCTCATCCCACATTGTTGTTTCCCGGCCTGCTATCCATGCATCCATTCCCCCCTCCTCGTGCTCCTCCTCCATCCGCCTCCTAATCCTAATCTTCCCCTTCCACCCCACCCTCGCATCCTCCCTCCGCGCCACCTCCTTCAGCGTCGTCCCTCCCTCGTCTTCCTGATTTGCCAACCCCCTCGCTGCCTCAGGGGAGCCATTCCTGAGGAATATCTTTCTGGGAAACATTCCAAAGGAATGTCCTGACCTTCCTGGGGAAACGCTTCCCCAGACAATCTATTCCTGACCCCACCCCAACAAACACCCTCCCTGGGCCGAACTCTCCCTTCTCTGAAGAGCGGCTCCAAACCAGGGAACGCCCGTCAGGGGAAACGATGCACTGAAAAGCAATTTTCCAGGAAGACCCTCACTCATGCGAAGGGACAAACCCCGCGGCCCCGGCCCCAGCCGAAGCTCCAAGCTCAGGCTCGGGCCCCAAACATGTATGCCTTGACTTTCTCACTCCGCATCCCCTGAAGTCCCGACCCTTTCCCCAGGGTCGTGCTTTCATCCCGAATTGTTCTTTGAACTCTGGGGACCGGCGAAGGCCCCAGAGACCGAAAATGGCCTAAAAACAGCCGTCGTGTTCTATTTGTTTTAGCAGGGGCCGACCGTCCCGGGCATTCCTATAGAGGCCTACCACGGAATTTTCTCAGAACCCCAATAAGCTCTGAGAACAAAAAAATGTCCACATAATATAAACCCGATGTGGTGCAAGTCCGTCCCAGCCAGAAATGTTCTAAGACCATTACGTGAAAACCACAAAAAGGTTCTTAGACCATTGTTTGGCAGGCCTATAGGCACGCCAGGACGCTTCGCCACTGCTTGATTCTTGTTGAGAGAAAGTGCCTGGAACTCGGGCTCGGGCTCGGGCGCTGGGTGGCGCAAGTCAATCTTGGACGCGGCCCACGCGTTTTCGCTGGCCTCGGCCCTGGTCGCCGGCCCCGGCCTCGGCCTCGGCCCAGGCCCCGGCCAGGGTTGTTTTTTGTTGTTTTTTGTTTTTCCCTGGCGCCGAGGCCAAGACCTCGGCGCCAGGACCGGCGCCGAGGTCTTGGCCTCGGCGCCGGTCCTGGCTCTGGCCCAGAGATGCTCTCTGGAGGACTCTTCCTGCAGAAAGGGCGCCTCCCTGAGGACGGGTTTTTCCAGGCAGGCTCCCTTGGGTTGCCGTGCCAAGCTGCTGGACCTCTCCCGGCGTGCGCTCTGACCAGGCCGAGGTGAGCGGCAGCGAGCCCTCCCCCCCCAGAGGCCAAGAGAGGCAAAAACTACTACGGGTTCGTGCAGTGGCGACCCTGGGATTGGTTCTGATATCGCGTGGTGTCGTTCAGCCTTGAACGATCGGCGGCTTTTCGATCGTCAGATGGTTCCATATTGGCCGATTCACGGCTGCTGGCGGCGTTCACCTTGAACGCCCGCGCTGGGGTCGCCGCCGCGTCGACACGACGCGAGCCTACAGTAGATCGGTGCCCTCCCCCAGGACGCCCAAAGAAGCAAACACTGCGGAAGGACATCGGTATCGATGTCGTCTCTCTCATCTGGCACTCGCATGACAAAGACAAATGTGCGACGAAAATAAACGGGTCTCGACATGACAGAGCGACCTCACACAGTGGCTTACGCGGGCCGCCAGCGCAGCACGCCACAATAGAAACGAAGGCGCGTACGCGCGCGACCTTACGCAGGCAGCTAACGCGCGAATTTCGGCGCAATTGACTCCCATTTTCTGCGTCGCTCAACTGTACCCCAGCACCCAGCACTTGTGGTGCTAAGCGAACCGTGGGCCCAAGGTCAGCGCATACGCTTCCCTTGCCCAGCCTGGGCGGTATATACGCCGACATCGTCGATGATCCTTAGAAGGCGTGTTAGCGCCAACCTGTGTTTTTCCAAAGCCGTCCTTCAATACGACACATGCGCCGCAATGAGGGCCGACACGGGCTGCTTGCTATCGGCGGGGCTGACAGGATTAACACATGCGTGCTATCGGCGGGGCTGAACGGGATTAGTACATGCCGGGTTCACACACATCCTGAAAATCATCGATATTAGTTCCAAACTGGGCCTGGCACAAATTGTGGACGCCCGCACTGGTTAGGGAAGTGATGAGCATGATTCCCAACAACAGGTGTTTCCCCACCCCCGCAAGCATACCACTGGAACCCGACCACATGCACTAGGCACTGGGCAAGCTTGGAACCACCTGCAGGCCAACCTGCAGTAGGCGAGCCAACAACGCGAGACCTTGGCCAGTGCAGATCAACTAGAACGGGCGTAGCCGGCTCCTGCTCACGCGGCCGAGACACGGATGCCAGATTCCGTGCCTAAGCGCCGTGAGCCGCAGGGCAAACTCGCACGTCCCAGAGGACAAACGCCGGTCTTAAGGAACCTTTCGCCGGGCAAGCAGAACAGCTGCGGCGGCACCTGTGGATTACCCTACAGGGTCAACACCCCTCCCAAAAAGAGGGAGAACGGGCCAACATCGGGCCGCAGCTAGGTGGCCAGAGGGGCGGGGAGGGGAGGAGGAAGAAAAGAGGAGGAGGCGGAGAGACAGGAGAGGCAATCAGAGCGAATGAGCAACCCGACGTAAAAATCATCACCTGGTCGCAACATTGCTGGGTGGACGCCAGCGTGTCGCACTACGCGCGGGAAGGGAGGAGGGGGAGGAGGAGGCAAGAGGAGGGAGGAGGAGGAAATAACACAAACCCTCGAAGCTGAGCGACGCGACCTCAAATACATCTGGCACCGCACTATTGGCGGGCACGGTCCTTTGATTTGTCATTGGATTTTCACTGGAATTCTGAGGTCAGAATTCTGGTGGTCCTGCGGCACAGCCATGATGCGGCGAGGCGTGCCGCGGCAGGGAGTAGCAGCGTAAGCATTGTAGAGTTAACGTCTTGTGTGCATTGTGTAGGAAATCCAGCGGTGCACGCGCGCGCGTGAGTTGCGCCAGTGATCGGCACGATAACGTAGCACAGCGCATGCTACTAGGTTGACAATCCCACCAATGGGGATAGCAGCTTCAGGGCACTTTTCGCCGTAACGCGCAAGGGTTCCCGCAGCCTGCGTCGTTGACAACTCGTAGAACTCTCCGGCTGGTCGGCCGCCCCCGGCCGACGACCAGCTAGGGGTTCCCACAGCGTGCACCGATGACAATTCGTCGAATTTGTTGGGTCGGTCGGCCGCCCCCGGCCAACATCCGTTTAAATTACCAGACGGCAATTTCGTCGCTGCTGGCTGGACCTGCCTCCCCGCTCCTTTCCCTGCCCTGGTTGCCGTTTGTCTCGTTGCAAGTTCGTTCTATGGTTTATCCCAAAAGCGCATGTTGTCTAACAGCGACAGCTGCCGCTGTTGGTCAGGCGCTCTTCTGTCTCGAATGGACAACGCCCGCGGCGGCGCTGACAACAAAACCTCTTCAAACATGAGCAGCAACTGCCGTCGGCCTTTGCATCCATTCTTTCCGAACGCCCTTCGGTCGCACCGAAGAGCCAGCCCAAGGTGGACCCGGCCAACCCAAGGTGGACCCAGCCCAAGGTGGACCCGGTCTTCAGGCTCTCCTGTTCTGTTGAGTCTCCGCTCTGCGTCGCTCCCCATGCCCCCCCCCCAAAAGGGGTTTCAGCTGCAAGGGGGTGGTGCAATAGATTCTGGACAATTGGATTGCAAATGTATTGCACCAGAGAATTGTGCTGCATTGTATTGCAACTTGATGCATTGCACGCGAAAGTCCAGCAATACATTTGTGCCCAGACATGTATTGCACGACCCAAATGTACTGCATCCCCACAAGTCTATTGCACCAAATCTATGTCACCACCCCCCTGTCGCTGGACCCCCTTTCGGGTGAACCCGAAGAAGGGCTGCCCTCGGGCCGCCCCGCCGAGAGGGCGCGAGGTGACGTATCTCCGCGCCCCCCTGCGGCAGGCACGGCCCGCAATGTGAGCGTTTTCTTAGTCGGCGTTTCGACACTGGGCGGAAGGGGTGGGGCGAGGGGGGGGGGGTCTCCCGGACCTCTGCTTAGTGCGACTGTTTGGATCAGGGCGCCCTCTGGGGGGGAGACAACACCTGCTCGAAACAGGCGCCGAAAACAGCCAAGCTCAGCCAAGCTCCATTCCACGGGGGGGGGAGCGGGGGGTACGAGGGCCCGCGCCGTTGGCCAAAACGATTAATAATAAAACGATCACAATAGCTTAATGCTGCCTGCAGCCTCCTCCTCCAACCTTCACCCTCAGCTCTGCATCCTCTCATGACCCTCTCTCTCATCCCTCCCTCCCACTCCCGAGCCTGCCGAATGTTGTCCCACGACGCTCGAAGATGTTTGAAGTTCCCGCCTCCCTCTTTTTGGGCTTCCAGAACGCCTCGGGACCTCTGGGGGCCCCTGAGGACCTCTGGGAATCTCCGCGGGTCAGACCCTGCTGATGAAAAACTGACGGCATGAACCTTCATGACTTCATGACCTCCTTAAGTTGCACCGTCCCTGCTCCTCAGTAATTATACTGACCTCGAAGCTGTCTCCCTCCGTCGAAGCTCGCTTCATTTCTCACCCTCTCTCCCTCTGGGGCGGAGCGGTCCTTCTCGCCTGCGCCTTTGTCCACAGCTTTGAAACGCCGCAAAATGAAAGGCACGAGCACCACAAGGTACAGGAGGGTCACTACCTGCGGACGAAGAGCGTCTACCAACACTTCGCCCTCATCCTGTCTATCTTCCCTCCTCCTGTAGGCGACCAGCGCTGCTTATCCGTACCCCTGCTCTTGCTGAATATGTAACTCTCCGATGGGCTGGGGGGGCAGTGGCGCGGCTAAAACATCACGCCTCATAGAGCAGGCCTTGTTGTCCATACCTGCGCCCACCTCTGCCGCCGAGAATGTGTGACAGCAACTGGAGAACGTCCACCAACGTGCCTCCTGGCACGCTGAGGCGTGGCCGAATGCGCAGTGCAATCCCGTAGAGCTTCTGTGAGTCCTTTCAAGCTCAAGCCCCCTCCTGGTCACGCATTTGCGCTTGCATCGCCCTCTCTCCTGACGCTTCCTGGGCGCCACGACACCTCCCTGGCTTCTGCGATGGCCTCCAAGACAGCCCAAGGTGGCCCCAAGACGGCCCGAGATGGTCCCAAGACGGTCAAGGGACTTCAAACAGCCTCAGAGGGCTCCTAGAGGACCTCCAGGACGGAAGGCTCTGAGAGGTCAACACCACCGATTTTCCCTAGACGTTTAAGCGGTATTCGCGTCTCCTGATGGTGTCTCCATGAAAACAGACGACGGCCCAAGAGGCCTCCAATACGCCTCCTAGACCTGATGCCTTCGAGAGGATACCCCAAATAGACCTCCAAGACCACCCTTCAGTGCCCCCCAAGACGGCCTAGAGAGCCCCCCATGATGCACGCCGAAAGCGCCGGACTGCGTATGAGAGCCCCGAGGACGCCCATGGAGCCTCCCAAAGGCCCAAAGGGCGCTCGCAAGAGGCCTCCTAGTAGAGGACCTCGAGAGGCACACAGAAGGCCCCAAGATAGGAATAGGAGCAGGGAGGAAGAGGAGCAGGGAGGAAGACGACGACGCGAATGAGCGTGTCACATTTTAGGGCTCTCCCAAGCCTCCTGTCGTAAGATGACACCCCGCGGGCGACCAGGTCTTCCGTTCCCTCAAAAATCAGTGTCGTAACTTGCGCCGAAGGCTGCGCAGAGCACGCCACAAGATGCGCCTTAGACTGTGCCAGAAAGCCACGGAGAACCACATCGCCCGTTGCACTGGTAGGTCTGCCACACGTTGCGCCAGCTGATTTGTCACACACACACACACACCCCTCGGGCAACCAAGTCGTCCGTTGCCTCAGCGGGTACGGCGGGTTCGTGCGGCGACGGCGCGTGCAAAGGTTTTTGACACCGCCTCAATCGTTCAACCTTGAATCGATCACGACCCCGATCGTTCAAGGTTGTATTCAGCCGGGTACAATGGCGATACAAAATTCAACCTTGAACGCTTTCGCTGGCGTCGCTGGCGCCACCACTGCCGCATGAAACTACCGTATCCCACAGGTTGCGCCACAAGGGTTTCGCAACAGGTTGCTCCAGACAGTCCACGGTCAACCAAATCGCATAGGTTGCGCCATCAATTTTGCCAACGCAAACTGTGGGCAACTGAAACGTGAGTGGTCTACTGCGGCATAGGCTTCGCCATGCAACCCGCTTGCAACCCAATCGATCGATGCCTCAGCAGGTGCTAACTAAGATTATAAATTGTAGATGGGGTCGTTCCGGCACCCGCTGATCAAAGAGAGACTCGATTGCCGATCCTCCACTTCCACTAGAATCTGCCGACCCCCGCTTGATTGGGGCGAAAGGCGTGTGGGACATTTGGCTGTCCCCCTCCTCCTTTTTCCCTCCCCTGGGGTCCGAAATGCCGACTGAAGGGTGCCGCGACGAATTTGCCAACGCGCCCCTGGGACCTACAGGGAGCCAAGACAGTCCAAGAGAGCATCGAGACGGCGCAGGGTAGCCCCAAAGATCGTCCCAAGACGGCCCATAGCCCCCCCAAATAGCCCCAAGACGGCCTAAGGGGGGCCCCAGACAGCCACGGCGGCCCGTAAGACGGCCTAACATTGCCCCAAAGAGGCCGCCCAAGTCGGGGGCGCGCAAACATGGATTAGCGATTCATGGATTTGGTGCGCGGTCGCCAAATCCATGGATCGGGGAGGTCCCTCCCCCAAAATGCGGCCAGTGCCGCCTCGCTCGGCGGCGGAAATACGCTATTTCCCTTGGAAATGGGACCCGTCGCTACTCCACGTCACCTTGATCCATGCTTGCGATCGCCTGACTAAGAAGGGGCGAAACGGGGCCACGCGAAATGACATGTCGAATCTTTCCCCCAAAGATGGCCCCGAACGCGTCCCAGAGGCCGTCGTGGCGCTCTGAAGGCCCCAAGAAGCCTCAACGACCCCCTCCCCAAATGCCCCCCAGAGCCTTCAAAAACGCCCCCGACTAGCATCCATCTGGAAGATTGAATCATGCATCAGACAAGATACCTGTAGGCTCTCACTCTTTCTGGGGGTCGTCGGAATGGCGTCAACCACTTGAGTCCACGTCCGGAAGCGACGCGTTGCTGGAGGCAGGTCCGCGGATGCTGTAATGCAACGCGTCCAATGTATCTAATCATTGCATATAATGTTACGTATTGTTTGCAATATTGTGCTTCCCCCCCTAGCCCCCCCTGGAGTCGCGCCACAGAGCCGCACCAAAGTGGCGGCCCCCCGCTTGGGGCCCTCAAACGTACCAAAACGTATGGGAAATCCATGATTCAGGCCTGTTGGCCCTCTTGGGGCTCCAACAAGGCCTCAGGAGGGCTCCAGATGCCCTCAAGACGGCAAAAGACGGCCCCAGGACGGCCCAAGATGGCCCCAAGAGGGCCAAAAAAAACTCCCACAACGCCCCAAAAGGGCCCCAAGAGGACCCCCAGGAGTGCCTCCACAGGCCAAACTCATCGATTTCCCATCGGGTGTTGAAGAGGTTTATGTTCTCGCTTATTTCGATTCTCACAGGCCCAGGGCGACCCAAGCAGCCTCCAAAATCGTCCCAGAACTGCCCAAGAAGTCTCCGAGAAGGCCCCAATACAGCCCAAGAGGACTCCAAGACGGTCCAAAGAGGCCCCCAAGACGGTCGAAGAGGCCCCCAAGACAGCTCAAGAAGACCCCAAGATTGCCCCAAGGCGTCCGCGAGAGCCCCCCAAGACGGCCTCCGAAGGGGCGAAATGGCGCAAAAGCGCCTCAAGACGGCTCAAGACGCCCCCAAGAGGCCCCAGGAGGCCCCTTAAAAACCCCCGAGTAGCGCCCAAGAGGCCCCCAGGAGGCCCCCAAGAAACCCCCCAAAGGCCCCACAACGATTGGACTGAGCGGCCACTTGACGGCCCCTCAGAAGCCTTGAAAATTATCCCGGCAAAGCAACCTAACAGCGATGTGTAGGAGCATATCTGGAAGCATTCCCCTTAAGATTCAGATGAGAATCCAGTTGTAGAATTCTGCTGTTCTCGCAGTCGTAGTCGCATTCGCGATGACAGTCGCAGTGGCAACGGCAGTCGCAGTCACAGCCTCAGCCTCAGCCTGCCTCCTCCTCCTCCTGCTCTTTCTCCTGCTCCTCCTCCTCCTCCTCCTCCTCCTCCTCCTCCTCCTGCTCGTCCTCGTTCTCGTCCTCCTCGTCTTGCTCGTCCTCCTCCTCCTGGTGCTCTCTCCTCCTCCTCCTCCTCCTCCTCCTCCTCCTCCTCCTCCTCCTCCTCCTGGTGGTCCTCGTTCTCCTCCTCCTGGTGCTCTCCCCCCCCCTCCTCCTCCTCGTCCTCCTCCTCCTCCTCCTCCTCGTCCTCCTCCTCCTCTTCCTCCTCCTCCTCCTCCTCCTCCTCCTCCTGGTAGTCCTCCCCCTCCCCTCCTCCTCCTCCTCATCCTCCTCTCCTGGTCGTCCTCGTTCTCGTCCTCCTCGTCTTGCTCGTCCTCCTCCTCCTGGTGTTCTCTCCTCCTCCTCCTCCTCCTCCTCCTCCTCCTCCTCCTCCTCCTCCTGGTGGTCCTCGTTCTCCTCCTCCTGGTACTCTCCCCCCCCTCCTCCTCCTCCTCCTCCTCGTCCTCGTCCTCCTCCTCCTCCTCCTCCTCTTCCTCCTCCTCCTCCTCCTCCTCCTCCTCCTCCTCCTCCTCCTCCTCCTGGTACTCCTCCCCCTCCCCTCCTCCTCCTCCTCCTCCTCCTCTTCCTGGTCGTCCTCCTCCTCCTGGTCGTCCTCCTCCTCCTGCTCGTCCTCCTCCTCCTCCTGCTCGTCCTTCTTCTCCTGCTCCTCCTGCTCCTCGTCCTGTTCCTGCTCGTCCTCGTCCTCCTGGTCTTGCTCGTCCTCCTCCTCATCGTGCTCTTGCCCCTGCTGAAAATGTGGCCCAGGAATGGGAGTTCTGGGAAGTCGAAGAGCACGAAGTTGCCTACAGTTGGCTACGGGCATTCAAAATGTGGCCCGGGAATGGAGTTCTGGGAACTCGAAGAGCACGAAGTGGCCTACAGTTGGCTCCGGGCATTCAAAATGTGGCCCGGGAATGGAGTTCTGGGAACTCGAAGAGCACGAAGTGGCCTACAGTTGGCTCCGGGCATTCAAAATGTGGCCCGGGAATGGAGTTCTGGGAAATAGAAGAGCACGAAGTGGCCTACAGTTGGCTCCGGGCATCCAAAATGTGGCCCGGGAATGGCGTTCTGGGAACTCGAAGAGCACGAAGTGTGTGACTGTTGCATCCGGCCCCCCAGAATGTGGCCCGGGAATGGCGTTCTGGGATGTCGAAGAGCACTTTGTGTGTGACTGTTGCATCCGGCCCCCCAGAATGTGGCCTGGGAATGGAGTTCTGGGAAGGCGAAGAGCACGAAGTGTGTGACTGTTGGTGAAAAACGAGCCCGGCTCATGCCGCCCGGAAACGCCCCAACACCTGCCCGGACCCCCCTGTGGAGTGATCTGTGAGCTCTTTTGACACCACTAGAAACCTATCAGTCTTCGCTGTTAGGTAATCAATGACATTTCCCTCTTGGGGCCCTCTTGGGGAGCCTCTTGGAGGCCTCTTGGGGCGTCTCGGGGCCCCCTTGGACGGTCTTGGGCGGTCTTGGGGTCTCTTGGAGCGCTCTTGGGCTGTCTTGGAGCGCTCGTGGACCACTCTT